GTTATGCGCTTATAATAATAGTCAACGATATAATGATTTTAGTTGATTTAATATTTACATATTGGTATATATCATTCATTCTGTTATTAGTACTTGCATCGATTATTATACTTAAAGGTAAAAATATAGCAGAAAAGTTAGTTGAATATTCACAAAATATGAACCCCGCACGTACTCTCTTTCTACTTACTACAATTGGTGTTATTTTGTTATGTATACCATTATTACCACCATCAATATTCATTTTTGAGTTTTTTATTAAATCGGTTTGGAAACTTATATCAGCAACAACAAGTTAGATGATGACTCGTTTACACTTCTTAGTGGGACTACTTATAACTTTTGATATACAACATGAATTTCTTTCAAAATTTAGCTTCATATATTACTATTGTAGTAGTCCAAAGTTACGATGAGAAATTAAAAAGAAGTTGCTCCGTCTTTTTATTTAGACCAACTAAGAGACCTTGTTCCTTCGAATTTTAATCCAATTTGTAGTTTGCTATAAAGCGCGAAAGATTATGCGCAGAAAAAGTGGATTCATAGGTAATCAACTATGATGCATCCAGTGGATATATTCGCGAGATCTTCAGAGGACCTTCAGGAGTCACCGAAGGTTCTCGGAGAGATCTCCAGAAAACCTTTCAGGATTTATTGAAATATAAAACTCCAACAAAATACTTGCAGAAATAGCCGGCTACGGCCTGTCCAATGCGCATATTATCAAAACCCTCTGATGATCTTCAAAGGATTTTCAGAAAAACTTTTCGTAAAACCATTCCCATTTGGATGGACCAGACAACCTCAGCGCAGCACGTCCAATGAAAGCATACGATTTCCAGAATTAGTAAATTTTTTAATAAGATAACATATAACAAGAGTACAAAAAATAATAACAATGGTAAAAAAGTAAGAAAACGAGTAATATCATGGCTAAACAATTAATTTAAAAAATGCTTTATTTCATTCGTTTTATCTTTTGGGTGTCGTTATCACTACATAAATAGAGTTCTCTCATTTCGAACTATCCATTACCAATTATTTTCCATTGTCTCCACTTCTTTATTTTCTTTGGTAATTTCTCAACTGTAATTTCTCGTTTTGGAATTTTCTAACATGATTTTCTAATGAGTCTTTTTCGTTTTGATACTTGTATAAATGGTTAAGAATATTTTCTCCACTATTAAATTCTTCTTTGCTTTCAATTTGTAATTTTATTATTGTCGAGAAAACAACCGCCATGTTTGCCATTTGAAACTGGTATGACAGAACTCAAAAAACAAAAGTCCAGCGATCCTGCCAAACAAGTACCTGAACTTAATGAAACTAATAAGTACATATCTAACCAATTTATTTCTCATCACAAAAGAAAACCGAATAATCACGTTAAAATGTAAATAAACTTGTTTATCGCCTTAGTTTATCATAAAGCTTCTTACTGTCCAGAATTCACTTCGAATTAATCGGACGTTTTCAGATTGTCTGTTGTAGCATCAATATGAGCTTCTGGTGGTTTTGGATCATTCCCTCTGGTCTTCTTCCCTGGTGCTCCTTCTAATAAAAGACACGAAAAAGAACTATAACAAAGCATCGAGCGACCTTCCAAACTTCCACTTACTAACAATCATGGGTTTCGACAGACAATACTTTTCCCATAATAAAACACACATAGCAAATAGATAACCGTAAAATCATCAATAGATTGCTTTGGTATTTCTAAAAGACAGATAGTCAGAGAACTATATGTTCTCATTCGATTTCTATTCATTACCTCTTTGTGATATTGTTAATTGATCAATATCCGAATGTTGAATCAGCCGCACCAAAGGTTCTTCTTTCTTGGCTGCGCAATCTTTGCTTTGGATAAGCG